GATCAAACACTTCTAACAAGAATTCTGAAAACTACGCACCTAATTCAGTCCACTCATTGCATCACAGTTTAGGAAGCTGAGACCGAGGCAGGTCACTGAGTTAGGAATCCAGGTGCCACGTCTTCTCGGAAATATCAGTAACCCCTCCCCTTCCCAGTAACCTGGTCCCCTTACCCTAGACCAGTGGTTCTCAACCTTCCTAATGCCGCGACCCTTTCATACAGTTCCTCATGTTGTGGTGACCCCCCAATTTCATTGTTACAAATTGAACATAATTAAAGCATAGTGATTAGTCACAAAAACAATATGTAATTATGTCTGTGTTTTCCGATGGTCTTAGGCGACCCCTGTGAAAGGGTCGTTCGACCCCCAAAGGGGTCGGCGACCCACAGGTTGAGAACCACTGCCCTAGACTCTCCATCAATAACACCCTGACTCTCCAATCCCATATCCAGCCAGCCCTAAATTCCCCTGTTTTTGCCAAGGACTTTTCCCCTCAGTTCAGCTAAATCGAGGGACCTGATTGTTATTATGGGACTGTCTGCAGGCGGTCGCCTGGTGTCACATGGCGTCACCCCCTTGTGATTCTGATCATTTAAAAGTCTCACTATCCTCAGGCTTCAGTGTTGAACAACTATTGTCAAGGTCAGGCTCTACAGTGATCCTTTAAACCAGCTCCAGTTGAGTTCCCTTAGAAGGCAGACCAGATTTTTAAAAAGATCTTTTAGTCCTTCTTACTAAAAATCTGCTCTTACTAGGAACCAATGAGTTGCCTGAAACTGGGTTCTGTGGGAGGGTGAGTCCCCTCTGAAGCTGGCAGAGCACCTGAGAATTGTAGGTGGACGGGTACAACATTTCTTCACCTGATCCATGACCTGGTAACCCCAGGGCAGCATCCCATGATGCTTAGGCCATCAGCAAAGCAAGGGCATGGGAGGGAGGGAGGGAGGGAGAGAAGGAGGGAGCTCTCCACTCCCGGAGAAATAATCTGACATTTTATATCAAATAAAAACACCTAAGTAGTCCTTATAGGGGGAGGGGGTGTCAGACCTTTGGGACTTCAGAATGTAGTATTCCCTTTATTTCAACTTACTTTTAAAAATTAAATTTATTGGGGCAACATTGGTAAATAACATATGAGTTTCAGGTGTACAGTTCTATAATACATCATTTGTATATTGCCCTGTGTGCCCACCACCCAAAGTCTAGTCTTCTTGTGTCACCCTGTACTTGACCCTCTTGACCCTCTTCATCCTCCCGTACCCCCCTTCCCCCCTCCTAATCTCCATACTGTTGCCTAGCCCTAGAGCTATCCCTTTAATGCTTTTATCCTTGGGCCTCTGAGGGCCTGGCCCATCTCAGCTGCAGGAGAAAACTTCTCTGAGCAGATCAGGCCTGGGTTTGCCTGCTCCCCTCTGGGAAATGTGCCCCAGGTAAAAGTTGGTTACAAAAGCGAGGGAGAAAGAAACCCCTGGTCAACTTACCAAACAGACTCAGTAGCCAGATTTTAGCAGGTCAGCTTCTCTTCTGCGTGTGCATATTGGCCCAGAGGCATCTGCCCTGGAGCTCACCTTTCTTCCCCCGCACCCCCCTCCACTGGAGGGACTGGACTCCTGGAGAGAGGAGTGTGCTGTTCCACTCGGACACGGGAAAGGCCTCCGGGGCGTGGATAGTGCTGCTCTTCAGAAGCAAACCTGGGTCGCTTCTCTTGGGAGTGTGTCTGCATTTTAGAAATGGAGGGTCCTCAAACCTGGGCATGAAAGATAGTTATCGAAAGGGGGCATGGACGGATTCAGTGTGTCTTCTGTACAATTTTTACTGATAGATTTCAAGAATTCAGTTTTCTCCAAGGAACACAGAGATGAAAATTCTAGTATTTAACTTGATGGACCTGTCTGTGCAAATGATGTCTGATCTTGAAAGGTTGTACCGGACTAAAGCGTTAATTTCATATATATATATATAAAAATTTCAGAAAGGAAGAAAGAGGGACAGAGGGACTGAAACATCAATGATGAGAATCGTTGATCGGCTGCCTCCTACACACCCCTACTGGGGACCAAGCCCGCAACCCAGGCATGTGCTCTTGACTGGAATTGAACCCGGGACCCTTCAGTCCCCAAGCCGATGCTCTATCCACTGAGCCAAACCAGCAAGGGCCAAAGTGTTAATTTCTAAAGTGTATGTGTACCTGATGTGTGTTTGGTATCCAAGTGTGTGTTTCTTGGTGTGAGTGCCATCCAGACAAGAATGTGAGCGTGTGCCTGGCTGGTGTTGCTCAGTGGTTGAGCATCGACCCATGAACCAAGAGGTCCCCGGTTTGATTCCTGGTTAGGGTACATGCCTGGGTTGTGGGTTCAATCCCCAGTAGGGGGTGTTCAGGAGGCAGCCAACTCTCTGTCATCCATGTTTCTATCTCTCTATCCCTCACCCTTCCTCTCTCTCTAAAATCAATAAAAACATTAAAAAAATAAACATACATTAAAAAAAGAATGCGGGTTTATAAATGTTTGGATATTGGAACCGCTAACCACACACAAGCAAAGCAGATGTTTCAATGAGTTCTCAAATATTTTAATGAGTGCCTCGATTTTCCTGATAAAGAGAGGACAGAAAACAAAAAAGAGTTACTCTTTTTCCTTTGAGTGAAGTAAGTTTTTACCAGGAGAACAGGCAGGCAGGCAGCTATGGGACATACACACGTAGTCTAACTTTTTTCTTCAGTGGGGAAGTGATGACTCCTGGTGTGGCTCAGAAATGAAACCTTCCTATGAGGAAGTTTCCTGTCTTTCCTGATGATCACATGTGCCTGCTCTGATTACTCAAAGCACAAACTGGGCGCCGTGGGGGCATTGAGGAAGTCAAGTTCTTCTTTCCATAGAAAAGTCCGTAGGCAATTTCCTCTCCTCTGAGCTGTAAGACAGCTGGTGATCTAAGCCCCTCCCCCCTCCCCGCCTTCTCAGAGGGCCACTCGTGGTCCTATTTCACATGCATGAGCCAGGACCAAAGGGCCACAATCTGTCTCGCTACAAGGTTAGGTGCCCAGCTTGGGTGAGTGGTGTGGGCACCTGGCCAGCCTTCGGAGACTGGCTGCAGAGGAAGCGGTGGCACCAGGCCCGGCTGCTGGCCTCACCTTCATCTGGGCAAGAGGGCTGGGCCCATTGTCCTTCTGGCCTCGGGAGGGTGCAGGGTCATGAGTTAGAGCAGTGGTTCTCAACCTTCTGGCCCTTTAAATGCAGTTCCTCATGTTGTGACCCAACCATGAAATTATTTTCGTTGCTACTTCAATAACTGTCATGTTGCTACTGTTATGAATCGTAATGTAAATATCTGACATGCAGGATGGTCTTAGGCGACGCCTGTGAAAGGGTCGTTTGACCGCCAAAGGGGTTGCGACCCACAGGTTGAGAACCGCTGAGTTGGAGGCGGATGTGGTCTTTTGTTTTCTACCCAGTAGGAAATGGAACCTGAATCCATTTGGTTCTGGGCAGGGCAACAGGGCACAGTTTGAGCTCTTGGAGGCGCTGATGCCTAAAGGCCGCTTGTGTGGATTTGTGTGTCCCCCACCACCACTGTGCCCATCTTTTATGCATTTAAAGCCCGCCCGTAATCTAAAGCAGAGTTCTGGGAGACAGCAATGCCAACAGGCGCGGGGACTAGGGAAGTGCACCTGTAGAGTTAAAAAATGCATGACCCTCTCCCTCAAAGAGTGAACACGGGAGAGAGACCCGTCCTGGAGGGCGGCTGCTGAGCCCTAATGCATAATTCACGGGCCCACGCTGCTCCGTGCAGATGGCGATATTAAATCGTGATTGATGCTAAGAGCGGCACGGCTCTCAGGAAGGTCTCCCGGAGGCTTCTGGATGTTTCCAGGTCTCTTGTGTCTACTTGTCCTCTCTTCTCAGGCCGTCTTAAGCGGAAACCCCCCATGGCCCAGGAACCCCTCCTGGGGATGGAAGATCTTCACTCCCATATGTGTGAGGTTCTTCAAATGTCATCGCCCACCTTTTCTGCCTTTGAAGACGGCCCCTTCCCTCCTGGCACGGGTGCAGCTGTTCCCTCCAGCCGGGCACTGTGGGGAGGGCGGGGGATGCTCCGCCAGCCCCTGGCCGAGGGCTGCTGACCGGGGGCAAAGCAGCAGCACACTCTGCTGGTGGCGCCCAGGCAGGAGGGACAGTGGGCAGAAAGCTCAGGCAAAGCCAGCCGTCCACTCAGCACAAAGTGCTCTTTGTCGAGACTCTGAGGTCAGAGGCGGTAGATTCTCCTATGCAGATTTTCCACTCCGTGCATAATGAAATCATAAATCAAATTTGTGGTGGATGTGGAATTAAGTGTTTGGGAGTTTTGCTTTTGCTTTCTTTCAAAAAAAAAAAAAAAAAAAGGCTGAAATCACCCTCCAGGGCCTGATCTGGCCCAAAGCTGAAAACGCGTCTTCCGCATCACATGTAATTGTTACCAGGCTTGTGGGTCACCGACCATTGAAGATATGAAAATGAATACAATATGGTGAAAAGACTTCTGGCGGCCTGGCCTGGGCTGGGCGGGGAGGCCCGAGAGCATGAAGGATTTATGAGGTAAAGATAGAGGAGAGGCTGAGCGAGCGCAGAAGAAGATGGGCCACGGCCAGGAGACAGGAAAAGGCAGGGAGGCATGTTAACTTTGCAGCTTTCTTGTTCTTTTTTAATCCCAGAGCACGTGACTGGGAACATTGGCGACCACTTTCTGAAATATTTTCATTGGGGAGCGTGTGTGTGCGTGTGTGCGTGTGAGTGTGTGTGTGTGAGTGTGTGAGTGTGCGTGCTCAGCCGTGTGATGAGGGGGGAGATGGGCTGAAATAACCTCTTCCACTGAATGAGTAAGTAGGTTAGCTTCCTGGACTGCCATAAAAGGTCTGTAAAACCCTTTCAGGCCACTGGTAGAGGAGAGAAACAGGGAGAGGAGGAAAAAAAAAATGCTGGAACATATTTGAAGTTCCTTGGGTTGTTTGCCTTCTCTTTCAGACCCACCCTGTGGCGGTCGTTTGAATTCCAAAGATGCTGGCTACATCACCTCGCCAGGTTACCCCCAGGACTACCCGTCCCACCAGAACTGCGAGTGGATTGTTTACGCGCCCGAACCCAACCAGAAGATTGTCCTCAACTTCAACCCGCACTTTGAAATCGAGAAGCATGACTGCAAGTAAGCACCCTCCTGCCCACTGTGCATCCTTGAGACACCCTCCCTCTCTCCCTCCCTCCAGCCCCGGCTCCGACCGCAGCGCCACCTAATGGCCACACCCGTAACACCAGGCCTGCTAAACAGTGTCGGACCTGGGTCCGAGGGGAACCCAAGATGGCATTCTCTTTCAGGGGGAAATAAAGACCAGTTGGTCCCGTAGTATGGAGGAAAGAGCTTTCTTGAGTGAATGTGTAAGGAATAGCATCCTATCTTCAAAAGCTGGCAGTGGGGGGAGTTCCCTGTGGGGGCAGGGCGGGAGGTGGCCTACAAAACAGCAGCTCTTGACTTTGGGACTTGCCTCCCCCTTGGAGATCTCCCCGTTTCCACTGCTGCGACCACACGTAGGAACCCCACCGGCCTCCTTGATAAAATAGTAGCCCAGACCCACGTGGAGACTCCCTCTGCACCCAGCCGTGGACACTCAGGCTGTTGTGGTGGCAAGTGGCAGCTGGTTTCCTGATAGTTAAACATCAGAGTCTCCACGGGTAGATCTAAGATGTGCATTGCTCCTTGGTGTCTGTGCTGCCCAGGTTAGGGTCTCAAGGCTGGATTTATCTAATAAGCACTCTCCTAATTGCTCTGTGAACATCAGCCCACTCCACTCTCACAGGGACCCTGGGAAAGGGGGGTCCTTACCACCTCCATGTGGCCAATGAGAACAGCCAAAGCCCAGGGCCCCTAAGTCAGTCACCCGCGGTGACTCGGCTGGTCTCACCACCTCGGACCTGTCACTGTGGAGATGCGTGGCTCGGGAGACACCACGTGGGCATGTAGACATCTGGGAGTGCTTCAGAAATGCCATGTTAACACGGAGGCCCTATAAATCAAGGTGGGGGAGCAGACAGCACTGTCATGTCCAGAATGTGAATACAGTGCTTCCTCCTTGAAACAAAAGGGAAAGTTTTCTGTGCAGAAGGTCATGTCTGGCTCCAGAGAAGCGCCTACAAGGTGCCCCTGCTCCAGTGGGTGTCCAGTGCCCCCTTATGGTTGATAAATAGTCTGAGCCTTTCTTGTGACCAAGGCAATGCAAGTGATGAAAAATTCATCAAGGGCCAGCTGATGGGAAAGGTGCAGGACTCGGACCTGGACCAGCCAGCACTTACTCATAGATTCAGGACCCTCTGTAACCAGGAAACACTGTAAGACAGAGCCCACTAGATGGTACAAAGCACATTCACATTCTTGGCATGACAGTGCTGCCTGCTCCCGCACCTTGATTTATAGGGCCCTCGTGTTAACATGGCATTCACTGTGAACCCGTGCATCAATGTCATCGCTACCCTCTGAGGACAGCGTTTCACCTACGCGATGGTTTTCCCCTAACAAGAGTCAGTCTTTGTTGCGAATCCCAGGGTTTCCTGGATAGAAGCCTCATGTGACAAAGAATCATAGGGCCAAGCTTCTAATCGCAGATCGTCCCTTGACTCATTGAAGGACACAGGGTAGCTGCCCAGTTCCTCTTTGTCTAAGTTCAGTGCACACCCTTGGACACGCTTGCACAGAGTCGCAAGGCTGCCCATTCCCTGCCAGTGAACCTCACCAAGAATTTCTGAGAGAAGGGCTTCTTTATGAGGTGTTTTTGCTCTTGGAGCCTCTGGCGGGGCTGCAGGAGGTTGGCACGGACTGAATCGTAATGCACCGAGAGCTTGGGTCTGAGCTCAGAGAAATTTGACTAAGCACCTCTCTCGACTGAGGGCCAAATTCTGTTATGCTTATGCCAGCAAACCTCCCAGGGAAATTGCTAAGAGGTCATCCTATGTATATTCATAGCGGCAGAGGGACAAGGCAGGGCTTTGGGAGGAAACATTCAGGAGCTGGTGAGCATGGCTTTAAACACGTCCGGAAGTGTAAGAGGCCAGGAAGACATGCTCCCGCCCTGTTTGGGGCTACAGGGAGCCCCTTCCCCTTCCAAGACCCAGCTCCAGGGACGGGAGAACTCAGGTTGCTGTAGCCCTCGGGGAAGAGGGCAGAGTCCTTTCACGCTGAGCTGGAGCAGGCCGGGGACAGGTTTTCCTCCAGTTTATCATCTTCACTAAGTAGCTTCCCGTTTGCCTTTCCAACTCCCCCATTCTATGCTGCTGGCTCGAACCGGAAAGGTCAGGAGGGTCAGAGAAAACCCTTTCTGGGGTCTCTCTCCCCCAGTGCCAAATTGTCAGAAAGGGTCTGTTGGGGTCAAGCCCCTGCTACTTAACCTCGTCCTTCATTTCTCTCCCCTCCCCCGTGTCCCTTCCACTCCCCATGTCTCTCTCACCCTGATGAATTTTTGTATTTAGAGAGACACATCCGGTCCTCTCAACCTCTCGCTCTGCAAGGTATTTTTGACGTTCTTCCCCGGCCATTTGCATTCAGAATCGATGGGCTTCTCCCCCACCGCCCTGGTTCACTTGCAAAAGGAACAGTTAATCTAATGGAAGTCCCGGAAGTTCTGCCCGGTGCCTCCTCTCCTTCCCCCTCTCATTTCTGTTCCGAGGGAGCTCCTGGGTTTGGAAAGCACTTACCAGCCTAGGAGCTTAGCCTCCTTTCTCCTCTGATTCTGGGGGCCTGTTTCCAAGTGGATGCGGCTCTGGCAGCCCATCAGGTGGTGCTTACCAAGAGGAACTGCCTGAACCATCCTTCTGATGAGAACGTAGCAGTTAACCCCTCCGCGAAAAGGGGGATGAGTAAGGAAGTCAGAAAAGCAGCCAGCTCCTCCCCCGCCCGCCTCCAGTGCTCCTCCTGCACTTCTTCCTCTGTGCGGGATGGTCTGCAAAGGCTGCCCGTGACCCGGAAATGGGCCCCGATGGAGAGGCCTGGCCTGGCCAGGCAGTTGGCCCTCTGTGCCTTGAAATCAGCCCAAAGGGCTAGGCCAGCAAGTTCCAACCTCTCCAGCTCCTGGCACACAGAAACTAATCACTAAACGTCGTCAGCCATCCAAAAAGTATATTTTTTGCCGATCTGACCCAAAAATATCGATACAGTTTTGATTCATTCACACTGGATGGCTATTGTGCTGGCTGTAGTCATTGTTTTATTTGACAGCCGAAGGGGAAAGAGCTCAGTGCCCCGACTAAATAGTCAGGTATGACATGTTTTAGAAATACTGGTGGCAGCCCTGGCTGGTGCGGCACAGTTGGTTGGAGAGTCAACCCATACACCAAGATATTGAGGTTGCCATTCCCGGGTCAGGGCATCTGACCCAGGTTTCGGGTTCGATCCTAGTCGGAGTGCATGTGGAGGGCAACCAAGCAGTGTTTCTCCCCGACATTGCTGTTTCTCTCTCTCTCTCTCTCTCTCCTCTCTCTCTCTCTCTCCCTCCCTCCCTCCCTCCCTCCCTTTCTCCCTCCCTCTCTCTCCTTCTTCTCTCTAAGATCAGCAAGAAATAAAATCCTTGCAGCACACCAATTGACAATCACTGGTCTAGGCGATGACTGACTAAACTCCAGACAGGGACCTTTCCCCCTAACCTTTGCTTGTGAATTCTGTTCTGTCTGCTTGGAAACTTTCACTCACAGCCTGGCCGTTCTCAGGAATCCAGGCCCCCAGCACCCAAAGGCTGCTCTGGGGCCTAGTCACCGGCTGTGGGCAGCAACCAGAGGCCTTGTGGCCCGGCCAGGTTGGTGTGGCCCAGGGACAAAAGGGCAGGACTCGGGGCCACCTGAGCAGACAGGGAGAAGCCACTTCTATGGTGAGGAGAGGCCACTGCTGGCTGCCTTTCCCCTGAGTCATCAGCCAACAGGCTGCACGCAAGGATTTTAGAAACATACCCAACAAGACTGAATCTTTCTCCACTTCTGAAATCTAAAATCTATGCCTTTGAAAAACACCCACTGCCTATGAGACACGGCTTATTCATGAGTCCTCCCCACAGAGGCAGCCCAGCCCAGCCCATTATACCACCCAATTATACCAAATTCGAGAGCCTGCGTTCTTTTAAGAATTGGTCATTTCCAGATGGGTATGGGGAGAAAAACGTGTTTTACAAAGTGCAGAAACCGCTAAGAAGACTTGACAGAACATTTCTTCGGCCAAGAACCCACACAGAAGCCTGCACTAACGACTTTACATGTGTGTGCAGCGCGGCAGTATCTGATTCTCTTGAGGGGCGTTGCAGAATAGCGCTCCATCCAAGTGAAATCTCCAGCTACTGAGACATGCCCCCTCAGAGTGCCAGTTCTTTCTACAAAGGTTACCTGATAAAGGGCCTTCTGGAACTTGTGCCTACTTCCCTGTCTTCCGAAACAAAACAAAACCTAAGGCGACTCA